GGAATGATAAATCATATTAGGCCCTCTCCTAGATCATTGGGCCGTACTTAAAGCTCAAACTGGGCCCAGTTTAGTAAATTGGCCATAACTTCCTCAATATTCATCGGAATTGGGCTTATAATATATCGTTGGAAAGGTCTTTGCAAGCCCCATCCAACTACACTACTATTGGACCCATATCATGGACCAAACAAACTGGATTGGCTGTTTTCTTAAAATAAAGTTTTCAAAAACAGAGAGAAGAAAAGAAAAGAAACTTTCCGCAACACTAGACCTTTCCAAACTTTCGTTTCATTCGATTATGATTCAACGTAAAAGGTACTCATCACTGGGTTTGGTTTTGGGGAGACACAAATGGGTGTCTACAACACTGAAGGAGTTCTGTCTTCGATAAGTGCAATTACTAGATATTTCAAGGATCACTATTATGGAGATAATAAGTTCGTTCTTTTGGGTCGTCATTATCTGTTGCTAGACTATGATCATTGACCTTTGGGCTAGTTAAATAGTCCAAAGCCCACTAGAATGGATCTTATGAGGTCACACAACAAAGGTATTGGGTTAAGCAAGTTAGGGGCCCATTTATGGGCCTCATGAACAAGTAACCAATCATGAATTGGATTGGGCTAGTATAGTTAGATTACAGTAAGGATTTTGGCTTTTTCATGGAATCTTATTTAGAGATGAGATCTATAAATAAAATCCTTGTATAGGGTTATATGATACAACACAATTAAAAGTTAATTGTGCACCAAGCAACCAGTAATCCAAAACCTCTCTCTCTTTGTACCACACGCTTATCCCCTCCCTTCGTGGTGGTTCGTGATTTGTTCGTTGCTCGTTCTACTCCATAGAAGGTCAATTGAAGTGTTCGATTTCAACTAACTAGCATTATTGGAGGACTTAATCTGTGCCTGTGGACCAAGTAGAGGAATCACGCTTGAGGTTCTTCATCTCCCTTGCTCTTGTTCGATCGCACGTGGAATCACGCTTCAAAGGTATAAATTCTAATTCTTTATGTGTTATGCATGATCTTGATATTAGGTGCTATATGAATATGATTAATGTTTTTCGCATTCGTACCTATAAACTCCTACAATGGTATTAGTTAGCCTATGCATGTACATATATTGAATATTTATTCTTTGATAGTCCACAATTTTAATTCAATTAGGAGGGAGAATTATTTAATTATGGGACAATTATTATTTTAAATGTGATTTAAAAATATAGAATCATTAAAAGTTGTTTAATTTGCTCCAAATTAGCCTTCAATGATCCGAATTTTTGCCCTAAAGCACTCGAATTTTTCGCCCCACCCCCCACCGACCCTCCCTTATTTCGAAAAATTCGAAACTACAAACCCTAATTTGTGAAATTTTGTGTTTTAGTTTTGTTTAATTCGATAATTAAATGTTTAAAAAATTTAATCTATTTGATTACATGTAAATTATGAATTTTTCATGATCAAATTATTTAATTTAAAACTTAAATTGAATTGGGGATTAAATTCGTGAAGAATCCTAATTTTGAAATTGAATATGATTTAATTTTAAAATTAGATGGACCACATTATTTTAATTTTAATAAAATGTTTTGTTTTAATTAAAAAATAAAAAAAAAGGGGGCTTTAGGTGCAACAGCCACGGCTGGGTGGCGCAGCCACGACGACTGCCGCACCGGCAGTGGTCCAGGAGGGAGGGCGGGCTGGGCAGGGGATGAACAGGAGCAGCGTAGCAGTGCACCACCTTGTTGCGTGTGCTGCTGTTGTTGCTCTTGCGCCGCTGCAGGGCAGCGTACACCACAAGGTGTACGACCACCGTGGCCGGCTTCGGTTGGACACATCACGGTGGCTAGCGCGGTTTTTAAAAAAAAAAATTATTTTATTTATTTTGGATAAAATAAGATTTCAAAATTAAAAATAAAAGGATAAGTTTTGATTTTGAAAAGATAATTAACAAAATTAAAGTTGTTATTTTGTTAAGATAATTATGGAGCAAAAGATTCTATTTGGATAATGATTGATTTAATGAGATTATCCATAATTATTTTGGATAATAATTGAATTAAAATTATGTGATTGGCTAGCAATTAGGATAGAATCTCCTAAATTAGTTAAGATAACCATGGAAGATAAATATGATTTATCTTCCATAACTAAAATATGATTTGATTCTATCTCTTACCTTAAATAAAATATATGATATTTTATGGTTGGTTAGAAATAATATATGATATTATCTAATTGCAATAATTAATTAATTAAAAATATGAGATATTTTATGCCATGTTTCCTTAATTATGATCATTCGATGTTGTAGTTTAGGAAATCATGATGAGTGATTTATTATGTGGCCCTTTATAATATATGATATTATTTATTTCTATATATAAAGACTAGTATGGCCCATAGATTCTAAATACGATCTGCGCATCGTTTCGTATTTTTGTAATCTAAATATGGTCTGCGTACTGTTAAGTATTTTTGTAATTTATTTTATTTTATTTAAGTAGTATATAGAATAGAATAGTATTACATATTGCAGTTAATCCAAGAAATCCATGGAGTGAAGGCCCAAAGGAGCAAGATGGATGAGTTCCATGAAGGTTCAAGTGGGAGCTTTTTTGCTTTATTAGTTTTCTTAGGATTAAGGGGTCATACTATGTCATGTTTTATTTATGCATTAGTAATTATGCATGTTAGATTTTATTTATGTTGATTGATGATGCGTTAGAGTTCACTAAATAATCACAACATAATAAATCTAGGTCCCAGTAATATTGAGGTAGCTTTTCCAATCAAAAACCTGATGAAACCTTCGATATTTATGATGGGTCATGCTAAAGCTGGGTGTCATATTATATCTTAGGGGAGTGGGGTAAAACAAATTTTACACTTTTGATTGGTTATACTCAACGAGTTTACCTAAAGAGTTTAGAACCTTGGAGCTAAGGGTAATAATTAAACATGTGATGGGTAATTATTCAACCAAGAATTACAAAGAGTTGTAATCAGTAAATAGTTTACTCACCTTGAAAATGTAATGGTTGATGGTAGGGCTAAAGTCCGGTCAATTATTGCACAATTAAAGGATCTTGGAATCATTTTATTCAATAGGGATCAATTAAAATTGAATAAATGTTTTTAAGTTACCAACTATTAACATCGCTTATGGTACTTATAATTTTTAAACATAATTATTGAACTTTGCCTCGTTTTGTTTTGTTTGTAGATGAATAACCATAACGGCAACACTATTTTGCCAACGAAACTTAATTTAAGGCTGAATCTCATAAACTTCAGGGAATGGGAAAGTGAGTTGAGAAGAGTTCTCACAAGCCATGGGCTTGAATCTCATTTATATATACCTGTTGAGAGCGATTATACTAAGGGTTATAAAGCTGAAAGGCATGCTAAAATTGTTTCAGATGCAGAGAAAATTAGAAAACTCATTTTGAAATCTATTCCAAGTTGTTGGAGAAGAAGATTCAGGCACTATGAGGTAACCAACTTGTATCAATGTCTTCATGCTATCTGTGAAGGTGGCATTGGGGCATTAGGAAGTGGAGGCTTCAAAGATTACAATGTTCATTGTAAGATAATGGCTAAGAAACTCATGTCTGGTCAGTCAGTAAGGACCCAGGTCATTGAAATGCTTGATTTGTTCAATCAAATGGACGTCCTTGGGAAACCGTTCGATGATGACTCCGAGCATGATATAATCTTGTTCTCACTCCACGATGGTTTTGATATAGTTAGGCTCACTCATAATGATGAGGGCTCGACTGTGACATTAGTCAACCTTTTACTCAACCATGCTGAGGAGTACCTGAAGAGGAGACAAAGCGAATGATTCTATTGTGGTGAGTGGCTTCACCATACACCAGGGTGTCCCCATTATACACCAGTGAAAACAGAAGGTAAAGAGTTACTTGATGTTTTTGTTGTAGAATTTAATCTTACTTCATCTTCCACTTGGGTAATCGATACCGGTTGTGGTGCTCACATCGTTAATAACGTGCAGGGACTTAGAGGAATTAAGAAATTAGCAAAACGGGAAATAACGGTTCGAGTAGAAAATGGAGCAAAAGTTGCTGCACTTGCTATTGGAAGTTATCACCTGAGACTTCCCAATGGACTTATTTTGGTGCTTAGTAACTGTTATTATGTACCAACAATTACTATAAACATTTTTTCAGTTCTTGTTTTAGATTCTGAAGGATTTTCATTTGAAATAATAGACAAATGTTGTTTTATTTCTAAATATACAGCATTGATCATAAAAAGCAAAAAACAGATGATTCAAACTCAACTTACCTATGGCATTGTAGGCTTGGTCACATCAACCAAAAGCGCATCCAGAAATTACATAAGGTTGGGCTCCTTACTTCTTTTGATTATGAATCATATGAAAATTGTGAGTCATGCTTGCATGGTAAAATGACTAAGTCACCCTTTACGGGTGTAGGTGAAAGAGCAAGTGACCTTTTGGGACTCATACATACGGATGTGTGTGGACCAATGAGTTCAAAAGCTAGGAGTCAATATAGATACTTCATTACTTTTACTGATGATTTAAATAGATTTGGATATGTTTACTTAATGAAGCAGAAGTTGGAAGCCTTTGAAAAGTTCAAAGAATTCTAGAATGAGGTACAAAATCAACTTGGGAAAACAATCAAGGCATTACACTAGTGGAAAAATTTTCATTTGTAACGGGTTATTTGTAACGGGCAAAGCTATGCTCGGTACATTAAATACATTTGTAACGGGCAAAATATTGTCCGTTACGAATAAATATTTATTCGTAACGGACAATATTTTGCCCGTTACAAATAATATAGTATTTGTAACGGACACATGATGTCCGTTACGAATAAATATTTATTCGTAACGGACAATGTTTTTCCCGTTACAAATAATATAGTATTCGTAACGGACACATGATGTCCGTTACGAATAAATATTTATTCGTAATGGACATCATGTATCTATTACGAATATTTAGACCAGCTGAAAATAGGAGCCCATGAAAAGAGGAGCCCATGACTAATTATTAGGGTTTCACACTCCTAATCCTAGCCGTCAAACACCCAAATCCCCCATTCTTTCCTCTCTCATTTTGCTAACTCAATCTCTCTCTTCTACGACTCAATTCACTCAATCTCCTCCATTTCACCACCCTAATTCCTTTATTCTCTTGTTTGTTAGAGTATTTAGAATGTCTGAAGGACTATTACTCCCTCTACACCGTCGACGGCGGCGATAAGGCCGTCATCTTTGACCGTTTTTGCGGAGTTCTCGATGAAATTGTCGGCGAAGGTACTCATGTCCGAATTTCATGGCTCCAGAAGCCTTACACCTTCGATATTCGTACTCGACCTCACAATTTTTCATCAATTTTTGGTACTAAGGATCTTCAGATGGTGAATCTTACTCTTAGGGTTTTGTCTCGTCCTGATCAGAATCGTCTTCCTCATATTTTTCAGACTCTTAGGTTCCGTCATCATATTGGAGTATGATGAGAAGGTTCTTCCTTCTATTGGTCTTGTTCGAGATAGCTTGATTAAGAGGTATTCATTTTGTTAATTCTGTAATTTTTTTCTGGAGATCTTGAGTTAGGGTTTTATTCAACGCATAAATTGTTTCTTGGTTTTTTTTTTTATAATTTGAATATTTTGGTGTTAAATTGGTCATAAAGATGCATTTAGTAGGAATTTTATGCTATTGTTGTTGTTTTCCCTGATTATTATGTTGCAGTAGTTAGCTGATTGTGTAGTTGAAGTTATAACTTGTACATTTTGATTGATCCTGAGACTAGTTGTGTGTTTGTTGCGAACATTTTAATTGCACTACTGTGTGTATTTTATTCTTTGACTTTGTTTTGCTCGGATTCTAGGGTTTCTGTCAGTTTTTTTTGTATGATAATGATGGCTCTTTCGATTTCTGCTGCGATTTCCCCTCTTTTTATTGTGTTTTAGTCTGATTTCTATTTTTTGTATTTTTTTTTTGTTTTTTGCTTTGTTTTTATTCCTGATAATATGGTTAGGGATTTCAGTTGAATATGACTGATTTTTTTATATAAAGTCCACATTTTCTTGGTTGAGATTATTTTATTTTTCTTAGAAATCGATTGCCCTTGTAGTTTTATGAGGGATTTTAGTTGCGTAGGAAATTAGTCAGCTAGATTTACAAGGTTTTGAAAGCATTTCGATTTGTTTTGAGAGTTGAATAATATAAGTGTTGTTATTTATTGTGTTAATTAGCATGTTTTTGGAAAGTGTTGTTTATGGGAAACAATATATACAAGTACATTCATTTGTTTATGCTGTATGTTATTGATGTTCGATGAAATCCAACTATGGGAACTGGTTTCCTATGTTCAAATGTTCAAATGTTTTCCTGCGAGTTCTCTTAGTTAGATATCAGAGAAACTACTATGTTCTATGATCCATCATTGATAATTCATGAAGGAGACAATGGCGTTGTATACATAACACTGAAGTCGCAATAAAGATACTTAATCCTGATAGCTTGCAGGGTAATGCAGAATTCAAACATGAGGTGAGAAAATTAATAAATACTCTTTATTTGTAATTAGAGATATTTTGTTATGATGACCATTAACTGTAAAATCATTTCTGTGAAGAGTTTGGACTATTAAAGAATTTTTGGAGAAACTTCTTTGATTGTACTACACTATTATTGAATGTATGTAGCGAATAGATCATAAGCATAGTAATATTAGTAAAACACTTATGAACTGTTGCTTACCTCGTTTGCATAATTTGTACTTTGCTTGTAGTTTGATGTACTAAGCAAGTTGTGCCATCCAAACCTGGTGAGTCTCATTGGTGCATGCCATGACTCCTTGGCTCTCATATATCAAGTATCTTCCCAATGGAAATCTTGAAGACCGACTGAATTGCAAAGACAACACTTCCCTGTTACCATGGTAAACAAGAATTCGGGTAGTCATTGACTTATGCTCAGCCCTTAACTTCCTACATTCTATCCAACCTTGCAGCATTCTACACAGTGATTTAAAACTAAAAAATATACTTCTGGACGCCAATTTCTGCCATATTATCTCTAACAACAAGCAGACTCTCACAACTGATGAATTAATGGGAAGAAGCTTGAGGATATTATTCCATCTTCTCACAATTGTGATGTATGGCCCTATCCATGTCTTCTTTCTTCTTTATACTGCCCTTTTCTTAAACTAAATGGAAGTCATCTATGTTTTGCAGGCTCCCCATGTCACTCGTACTGATTATCAGCTCCTTGACATAACTGAGGATGGTTTTGTAAGTATACTAGTCGCTAATGTGATTTTATTTGGCTTTATTCTCCAATGCTTCATATGATGTCATTTGTTAGCATGAAAATCAAGTGGGGTGTATCATGTGCACTATTTTTTGTTTTTCTTTTAATGGTAAACCGAACATGCAATTAATGAAGTTTTGGATATATGTTAATTTCCTTTCCTTAGATCACCTTGCCTATGAATTCTGGGTTTATATTCTTGTTCATAGTCTCATTTCTTAAGAGAAAAAGAGTCGTTTATGCAACTATAGAGCATGATTTATGAAATCTTTTATATATCTCTAACTTGGGGTTCTCGGGTTTGATGTGTAGGGGAGCGAATTTGGGATAAGGCTAGAAAAAATCAGGTTATCATGGCGATACAAGTTTGGGTATGGTGACGAGTAAGCCGAGAGTACGACAAGAAATGATATTGAGATCTTCTCCGGCGGCTTTAATAGTTCAGTGTGGAATACACGGCTTCAATAGCAATTAGCAAGTGCATGACTTGTTTTTAATTTCTTTAATTGATAAAATCATTTGAATGTATGGCTTTTGTTAATTGTATTTGAAGTGTATACTTGTATAAATTATTATTTAATATTATTTATTTTTTGTAATTGATAAAATCATTAACCAAACTAAGCTATCCACTGTCCAGCATATGCTGATTTTTTTTTTAATTAGGACAAACACTATTTGTAACGGGCAGATAATATGCCCGTTACTATCATCCCGTTTCTTGTAACGGGCAAAACATGTGTTTGTTACATATAACGGAGTTATTTGTAACGGGCAGTACATTTATCCGTTACAAATAACCCCGTTATTCGTAACGGGCACCCGAAATGTCCGTTACAAATAAGGGGTTATTCGTAACGGACGTTTCAAATGTCCGTTACGAATAACGGGTTATTCGTAACGGACAGTGCCTGTTACGAATAATGATGGCCATCCGTAACGGCCGCATACGTAACGGACGTTGCCCATTACGGATGAGCCCTTTTTGCCCGTTACGGATGGCCTTTTTTCTACTAGTGTTACGATCTGATCGTGGTGGTGAATATTTAACCCAAGAATTTGATGAACATCTGATTAATTGTGGAATACTTTCACAGTTAACTCCTCTAGGGACGCCACAGTTAAATGGGGTGTCAGAAAGGAGGAATAGGACCTTACTAGATATGGTTCGGTCCATGATGAGCTTTACTGATCTTCACATATCATTCTGGGGATATGCATTAGGAGCAGCTGCGAACATACTGAACAGAAGCCCATCCAAAGTAGTTGAGAAGACACCATATGAGTTATGGACTGGAAAAGTTCCAAAGTTGTCTTATCTCAAGAATTGGGGATGTGAAGTCTATGTAAAACGTTTACAAGGCGATAAACTACACCCTAAATCAGACAAATGTTTCTTTGTGGGTTATCCAAAAGAAATAATGGGGTATTACTCCTACAATCGCGAAGATAACAAAGTGTTTGTTGCTCGCGATGGTGTCTTTGTAGAAGAGGAAATCCTCTCTAGAAAGCCAAGTGAGAGTAAAGTGGTTCTCGAAGAAATTCGAGACGAGAAACAAATGGATGTGGATAACACCACATCAGAGGCGAGGGCGCATGAGTCGATTAATCATGCGTCGGAGCAAGCTAATTCGACTAGCGAGACTCCTATCGTCCCACTTGAATCTAATTCATGCGAAAATCTTCAAGAAGTTGGAGAGAATATTTCTATTGTTGCTCCTACCCCACGTAGGTCTGCCATTTATGGATTGAATCCATTTATTCAAACTTCAGAGATCCATTTTGGATTGAAGCAAGCATCAAGGAGTTGGAACCTTCGTTTTGATGAAGTAATCAAACAGTTTGGTTTTCTCAAAAGTGAAGAGGAACCTTCTGTATACAAGAAGTCCAGTGGGAGCAGCATAGTTTTCTTAGTCTTGTATGTAGATGACATACTCCTCATGGGGGACGACTTACCAATGCTTGAGTTAGTCAAGGACTAGTTGAAGAGTTGTTTCTCCATGAAAGACTTGGGTGACGCCGAGTACATTTTAGGAATCAAGATTCATCGAGACAGGTCTCGAAGGATGATTGGGCTGAGTCAAGAGACTTATATTTATAAGGTTCTTGATAAGTTCGAGATGTCAAAATCCAAGAGAGGATTTCTCCCCATGTCTCATGGCATTACGCTCAGTAAATCTCAATGTCCGGTTACACCAGACGAGATGAGATGTATGGCGATTGTACCTTATGCTTCGGCAGTAGGGTTAATAATGTATGCCATGATTTGTACAAGGCCGAATGTTTCATATGCTCTAAGCATGTGTAGCAGATTTCAGGAAAATTTAGGAGAAGCACACTGGACAGCTGCCAAGCACATCCTTAAGTACTTGAGAAGGACTAAAGGAATGTTTCTAGTATATGGTGGCGAAGATGAGTTGGTTGGCAAAGGTTATACAGATGCGAGTTTCCAAACAGACATAGATGATTTTAAATCCCAGTCTGGATACATTTCTGTCTGAATGGAGGAGCAGTGAGCTGGAAGAGTTCGAAGCAAAACACTGTCGCAGACTCTACAACACAATCAAAGTATTTGGCTGTTGTTGAAGCAGCTAAGGAAGCAGTTTGGATAAAGAAGTTCCTAACTGAGCTGGATATCGTACCAAGTGCACAAAATGGAATCAAATTGCATTGTGACAACAATGGCGCCATTGCTCAATCAAAGAAGCCTAGGTCACACTTTAAATCCAAACATGTTGAGAGGAAGTATTACGTCATTCGAGAGATCATTGGTAGAGGAGATGTCAAGATGTGCAAAGTTCATACGGATGAGAATGTCTCAAATCCACTTACTAAACCCCTTCCATTGCCTAAGCATGAGAAGCACACTAGTGCAATTGGATTGAGGCAAATGATGTAATTAGAATTTGTATTTGTTTTTGGAGAAAAATAAGTTACATATGTAATACATTCATTTGCAGAATTATGTTTAATCAGAAATTTATCATTTCTCTTATTTGATCGTGGTTTCAATATTAAATAAAATGTCCAAAATAATTATGGATGGATGGGCTCGTCAGGTTAATTTATTTAAATAACCTGGTGAATGAAACCCCATAAGTGAACAAAATCCATACATTATTCCAGTTCCTAGTCTAGAGTCATTAAACAGGACATAAATGATCTCTTTAAATGGACTAGCATGTAAGATTGATTGGATAGCGTTGTTTCTTGGGCTATAGGAGCGTAGTGAAGCTCAGTCAATCACATGGGTATGCATGAATGATGCATGATCGAACTATAGACCTACTTTGAAGTTCAAGTATAGAGCTTTCGGATATATTTGTGGATTCCTTTGACATGAGTGGAACATTGATTTCATTCAATGATTGATGTAACTGTGTACATTCAAACGTCTTCCCGTAACTGGAGATTATAAAGGGTGTTTCCTGGTTACCTCATGATTTGAGTGGGAGCCTTGGTTGCCCAAAGATTGGATTGAGTCTACCTATTTAATTAGGAATGTGTCTTTGCCCCTTGAGGAGGGAGAATTCATAAAATGTATGGTCGTACTCAAATAGATTACAGAGTAATCATTTGTTTTGTAATTCTAACTCAGTTTCTCAAGAAAAGATTTATAGATTAATATGATCACGACATGAGATGCAATCATATTATTAAATCGACAAACATTGACTTAAGGAATTTGAACATTGTGCACTTGTCTTAGACAAGTGGGAGATTGAAGGAGTTCTGTTTTTTATAAGTGCAATTACTAGATATATTAAGGATCACTATTATGGAGATAATAAGTTCGTTCTTTTGGGTCGTCATTATCTGTTGCTAGACTATGATCATTAACCTTTGGGCAAGTTAAATAGTCCAAAGCCCACTATAATGGATCCTATGAGGTCACACAATAAAGGTATTGGGTTAAGCAAGTTAGAGGCCCATTTATGGGCCTCATGAACAAGTAACCAATCATGAAATGGATTGGGCTAGTATAGTTAGATTAGAGTTAGGATTTGGGCTTTGTCATGCACTCTTATTTAGAGATGAGATCTATAAATAAAGTCCATGCATAGATACAACACAATTAACAGTTAATTATGCACCAAGCAACCAGTAATCAAAAACCTCTCTCTCTCTCTCTCTCTCTGTACCACACGCCTATCCCCTCCCTTCGTGGTGGTTCGTGATTTGCTCGTTCTACTCCATAGAAGGTCAATTGAAGTGTTCGATTGCAACTAACTAGCATTAATGGAGGACTTAATCTGTGCCTGTGGACCAAGTAGAGGAATCACGCTTGAGGTTCTTCATCTCCCTTGTTCTTGTTCGATCGCACGTGGCATCACGTTTCAAAGGTATTAATTCTATTTCTTTATATTTTATGCATGATCTTGGGATTAGGTGCTATATGAATTCATGTTTTCCGCATTCGTACCTATATACTCCTACAGACACTACAGAGAAGAAGGCTAGGGTAGAGAAGAAACATGGGGTCCTAGCTAAGGGAGAAACTTTTTACTCCAAAATTGAATGTAGGTACACTAAAGGATGCCGACTAGATAAAGTTATGGATGAAGAAGAGGATGCAGACAAAAATTGGAAGAAAGCAAAGAAAGAGAAAAAAAGATTAAAGCATTGCTTAACTTTCAATTATTAGACTTAGTTTTAAATTCAGAGTTAATTTATTTAAGCTTTATTTAAATTCTATCAATAATGTAATTGTTAGTTTATTTTATTAATGAAATTGCAGCTTTTTTAATTAAATTATCTCCTTTAAATTTAATTTATTAAAGCAATGAAAACTCAAAATTTAATTTTCCAGAAATTTTTTCGAGTACGAAAGTCGAAAATTTTCCGAAAAATACCGAAATATTCCCAGGTACTTTCCAGAAAGTAGCGCCGCGATTTTATGACTAGCGCCAACTGCGGTAGTCTGGCATCAGGCGATAGGTGTTGCCGTCTGGCGCTAAAGTTCAACGGCTGGCGCCAGAATTTTTTCTATGACGCCGATGTTTCGTTGATTTTCTGTCGAATTTTTTATTAAGTCTGGGATGCGAGGTTTGAAAAATATAAAGTGGCCGCACCCATAAAGGGTTGCCTACGTATCATTTATTAAGGAATCAGGCCAAACATAGCTCTCTTGAGTGTCCTACTCAAGTGATTATGGGTAGTACTTTTTAAGTTGGTCAAGATTTGTCATGTTCGAGAACTCATTACTATCCATATCAGTTAATTTTGCTACGCCTCCTGATAGGATTGTTTTGACAATATAGGGTCCAGACCAATTAGGCCTAAATTTCACCTTTGGATCTAAAACATTTTTCCTTAATGCTTTTAGCACCAAATCTCCTACTTTGATGTTTCTTGTCTTGACCTTCGTATTAAAATGCCTAGCCATAAGAGTTTGGTAGCATTGAGCATGATGTAGAGCTTCTAGTTGTTTTTCATTAAGTAGAATTAGCTCCTCATATCTCGCTCTAGTCCATTCAACTTCATCAAGTTTGCTTTCTAATGCGATGCGTAGAGATGGAATCTCTAGCTCTACAGGTTGTACAGCATCCATTCCATAAACCAAGGAAAATGGCGTATTTCCTATTGATGTGCGAATTGACGTGCGATAACTCCCCAATGCGAAGTGGAGTTTGCCAATCCTTGTAATTTTCCGTCATTTTCTTGATGCTAGTCTTTAA